TTTCTAGAAAGAAAAAAAAGAAGTCAAGTTTGACTGACTTGCCAAGTTTACACATAGGTTTCTAAAGATATCACATAAATTCAGCAAGGTTTTTTCTCACTGCTGTTCAATTCAACTTTTTCAATGCAATATTGGTGTTAATTTGAAAGTTTTCTGCACTTAGCTGATCTTAAAAATTCTAAAATAGAAAATTCATTTTGATAATATTTTCATGGATAGTTTTATTCGATTCACTGTTAAAATTATTAAATAAATAGTAACAAAAAGAAGAAAAAGAAAGCTTTTTACCGATAAAAACAATTGAAACATAATAGTAACTGATTAATATGTATCTGGATTTAGTTTTCTGACTACATATGTTTGTTTTTTGTCTAATAAGCTACTGCAATACGATCGAATACTGGTTATATTAAGCTCTTCTTAATGAAACAATTTGTGAATATATATGATAATATCTGGTGGTCTCCACACTGATTAACGAAAATATCATCTGATAAAGTTAATATAGTAAAAATTTAGAAGAATTTAATTTCTTTTGAGAAACGCTCTATTATCATCATTTGTCGATAGGTGAACCTTCATTAAATGAACTTCCCCGCGTTTTTTTCTCTCTCTTTTTTTTCTTCTTGCAATTCAATCATGTCACTGTCGATTAAGAAGCTCTCCTGCTCTCTTTCGCCGCCCATTTCCGCTTGTTTTTAGTAGTTATTGAACACACGAACACAACAACAAAAGCAACTAAATGAAGAGTGACAAGCGTTACCAGTTATGACGATGGTGAACAACAGTATAGTTTAGCGAATATTATACTTAAAGTGGATCGCAGAGGAGGTTGCTGTTGGGAATATAACTGACGAGAGTAGAGCTTGATTTCATGCTACGCAACAAAAAGACTATTTTTCTTCTCGCCTCTTTAGCTTTTGCTTTCAAAATCGAGATTACGAAAATGAAATTTAGCAATAAAGGACCAAATCAATTTTCATCAACTTAATTAAATTCTATAAGATATTAATATAGAATAATAAAAGTAAAAATAGTCAACATTTGACAAGCATATAGATCTACAAAATTTATATGTAATCAAACTAGGGGTTCTATTCATTACCATTGGAATCGACTCGTTTTAGGTTAGAACAATTGGACTATGTGCGGAAATCCTTATTTGCAACGATGTCTATCTATCTTTCTCTTTAAATAATAATATCCGTTTGCTCTTCTCTATTTTCTGTTGATTATTATTCTTTATGATCATGATTGATTATGACAGTCTCTAGACTATTTATAAATATATTTTGCAGTTTTTTTATCATCGCGAGTGTTTGAATATAATATAAGATGAACAATATTGATAATCACTACATTTAGAATATTTCTTTCAATGCTAAAATTTCAAGTTTATTACAGCATATAAGAAAAGTCAATTACAGAAACACATATTATTTTTTTCTAACTTGATATGAGTGTGCAAATGACACGGCCACATTTTGTCAAAGTAATTAGTGTTGTCGCATGTCTTTGCTGTCAGAGTTATCACCTTTAGGGATTCTCTTCCATATCAGTTGGCACATCAAAATCCTTCATATTGTTGAGCATCATCTTATAGGCATCCGTCTTAAACAGTGTTTCTTTAAAAACAAAATTCTGATCATCATAATTAGAAAAATAGATATATCTCAATAAACAATCAATCCTGAGATATTTGATCGTCGTGATAGATCATCGAATCGAAAAGAACGTCACTATTTTAACAATCGTTTCACACCAATTGATTTAATATATATACATATAAACAAAAAGGCTTCGTAGTTTGTTTGTTTCTTATTCGAAAGCAGCTTCTTCAATTGCACTTCTTTCCGGCTCATTGGTCAAACTAGCTCCGACTATTGACAGATCAATCAGCAATCGTAGACTGAATAGTTGCTGGCCTATCTTATTTTATTTTCTCCTTCTATTATGTACATTTATTCAAATTTCTATTGGTTTTAATGGTAAATCTCAATGGATATTGAATGAATCTATTTATAATTGATTATATCAAATAACTTGAATTTAAAATAGAACCAGTTAAGATAAACAGGTGTTTCTATTTTGTTGTGGATTTCAGATCGATCTGAATGAAATTATTCTGATCTACTCGGATTGATAACAAAATTGATTGATTTCATTTCTACTTTGGTCAATCACACTGATCGACAATAACAATAATGAACCTTTATAATGAAATTTAAAGTATTATAATTAATCTTACTCTACTGGCACGGTATGAAACTATCCAGTTGAAATACTATGTCAAATGTGTTGCCCTAAATCACTAAAACTTCGAGCAAATAATTGACACAGATCAACTAACAACGAAGAAAGTTATGTTAAATTGACTAGACTTGCACGATTAATGATTTTCTTTTTATCGGCTGTAAAACCGTACATATATGATATCATGAGTATAATCATCACTGGTACGTTTTAGTCATGTTCTCTTATATTATTCATTTTTATTATGTTGTATCGATTGATTTGAATGAGAAAAAAACAGTGATTTGAGAAAATTTAATAGATTTCACGCATTGGTTTAGTCACAAATGACTTCAATCATTTGCAGAAGATTGACGGCACAGACGACGTTTTACATTCATTGACGATAAATAAAAACAAAGATTGCGTTGATAAAATTCAATGCTTCTAATATTCATGCATATTATGATTGTATTGTTTTTTAAACTTATTGAAAATAATACTTCTCGCACAGTTACCTTCAGATAGAAAGGAAAGCTATTAGAATTTTATTTCTTACAGATGTTATTTAACTTACTCACATAGAAGAATAACTGATTTGAATTTCATTTTCTAAATGATGATTGTCTGCTGACATGGCATCTATGAAATATGTCAATTACAGCCCTTCCGATTTTATTTTATTCATTTCAGATTGCTCTTGAGGATGAAACGAATCGTTTAAGGATTGGAAACCATCTATTAACTTCCTAAAAAAAGTTGATATCCGTTTCGCAAAAAACAAATAGTGAACAAAGTTTTCGTGATATTTGATAAATCGATAATTTTTATATAGAAACACATTAAGCAATATAATAGCTTTTATAAAAATCATTTCAATTGAATAAAACGTGTTTCAGCGATTCTTTCTTCTAATTATATCTCAGAAGCATTGTTGAACTTCTATAACACTTAGTTTTCTTTTTTCACAAAAGAAACACTACAATAAATCGACAATTGATGTACTAATAATCAGAATTTTAGGAATTTGAATAGAGAATCGAAAACAAAACCATCTGGCTTTACCATTGGCAAAATTTTCTAAAAGATGTGTAGGATAACACTGGGCATTTTTGTTCCTCTGTTTTTTTTTGTCCTCTTTTTAATGCTCAAAATGTTTATTTTATACTCATTCAACAGAGAATTTGATCCTCGACAAAACTGCCTTTTTTTGTTTTTCAACCAACATCTTCCAGCTGCAGTATAATTCATATGAATAACATTTACTCAATCGTGCACGTGCGATAACCAAAAAGAGACGAAACAGGATCGAAACCTTTTAATAAAGGTTCTGCTAAAACCTCAAGTACACTATTGAATGCTCCATTCAACTCTGTATCTTTTGATATGCTATCAACAGTTATTAGAAGAATCATTTTTACTCTTTGATTCAACAGTCACATCATTTTGATCCGAATAAATTCTATATCCGATGACGTGAAAATGAACGTTGCATATACCAATTCTTGCTTTGGCAAACATGATTTTCCAGAGTACATCCACAAATACAATTATGTGCTAACTCCGAGGTTTGTTCTCTTTAAAGATAAGACCGACAATCATGAAATGTTGTGGAAGCACAGGCCATTAAATTCTCTATCCAGTGATGCTTAATACTTCGGTTTTAGGGTCGGTAATGATAAACAAATGTTTACACAAATCGATAAATATCTGCAAAAACTTGGAAATCATAGTTCAACGATTCAATAGATATTAATCTTGTGAATTATTCTCGGATAAGAAAACTTATATTTAAAAAAACACAGACAACAGCCTTGAAGGACACAACATCCTCTATTGAATGAGGACAAAAGAAGTATTCTGCACTGTGCAGAACAGTACAAAAAAAAGATACAAAAAATGCTCAGTTTCATCTGGTACACCAGTTATTAATATGTATTCATTGAGTCTAAGATCCATCTGAAAAATACGCAATTGAAAATAAATTTAAAATTATTTGTGTATAAATTGATGTATGATGACATCTTTTGATGACTATGGTATAGTGATATATTTTCTTGTAATTCTAATGATCGTTTAATAAGAGTAATCAATTGTTGAAGTGCAAATCTCAACATGAATCCTAATTTAAATACTTAGTATTGAATAAATGCACAACCATATTCCTCTTTTTTCGGATTGGTCTCCCCAATCTACCCTCTTGATCATACTACAGTAGCAGTCCATAAAAGGAAGGACAGACAATATTTGTTGCTTATTATTATACGTGTTAACGGCTAACCCTTATTATCTTTTTCTTTTTCTTTTTCTTTTTCTTTGATATGAACTATCTCAGGTCATTCTTTATTTTGCACTTGTATTTCTTTCTCAAACCCTCGATATATATATATATAGATGTAGATATATATATATATATATATATATATAGATGTAGATGTATATATATACGTATATCGATTACTTTTTCTAGAGAGTAGTTTATGTGCGCGCGTGTAAAGTGAGCGTAAAAGTGTAGTGTGATATATGTTCGATTTGAAATAAATAGAAAGAAATCGAACTAAAAGTTCTCCCGTTAATAGTACGACTTGAATTTTTTTGTCTTTCTCCGTTGAATTCTTATATTTGCAGGGTCAAACTATATTCGAAAAAATAAAACATTCTATTTTAGATGTTTATCTCTTATTAAGTAATCCGTTGATTATTTTATTGTTCAATTGATCGTTGTAAAAAAAAACAATACAAGAAGAAAAATAAAAAGAAAAAGAACAATGCCATCTGTAACTGATCTTCAACAACAATCATCAAAAATCTCATCGAATAATAATGGAAAATCGACACCACCACCACCACAACAACAACAGATAATTTCAACGTCAACGGGAAATACTACTGATACAACAAATGTTGATGCAATAACTCAAGTTATTCTGATGCTGGAAAAAAAACAACGAAATCTAGGCAAAAGAAAAGTAAATTTGATTTTGTAAAATTTATGATTTCTAATGAATAAAAATTTATAGGAAAAACTTGAAAGCTACGAAGAAGAAGCAAAATCCGGTAAAGAACTTAATAAAGATCAAAAGGTGAATTGATCGAAATAGTCGTGTCTTTTTTGTGTTTTAAAATTTTTTCTTTTAGGAAGCATTAGCCAAATATACTGAAGTTCTTGGTCAAATTGAATGTGTCAAAGATATTTCTGAACAAATAAAAAAAATACAAACTGAGGTTGAAATTTTTCTTTTCTTATTCTGAAATGAAATTTCTTAAAAAATAATTTTTTCAGTCAGCTAAAAATCAAAAACGTCTTGTTAAACAAGCAACTGACGAAAAACGATTATTAGTAGCTCAACGGCTTCGTGAATATGCTCAACTACGATATTTACTTGAGCATCAGCCATCTGTAAGCAAGCATCTGTTTTAATCAAAATAGATTTTAGAAAAAGAACATCATTTTTGTTTTTAAATTTGCCTATATAGTCATTGAAACCAGAGGAATCATCATTATTAGATGAACTAGCTCGTGTTATTGTTCCATGTGATGCAGCATTAAATGTAATAACTCGTTCTATTGACGCTGTATTGTCAATTTATCAAGGTGGTTCATTATCATCAACAATTAAAAATATAACTGGTCGAACATCACAAGAATTAAGAGAGACACTCGAACAATTAATTAAACAATGTGAAATTTCATCTTCGATGGATGCATCAACGATTCAACAAACAAAACTAGGTGAAACAGTCAAACAAACGCCTGTTCTTGTTGCTGTTGTTGAACCTTCATCAATACCATCGGTTTCTGTATTACCTCAACGAGAACCAAATAAACAACAACAATCGAATGATAATACTGATGGTAAAGTTGGATTCATTTTTTTTTGCTAGAAAAAGAGGAAAATACAAAGAGTCTATTACCTTCTCGATTTGTTCAGTATTGGAATCATCATTAAGTCATACTCATTTGATTCAAACAAATTCAAATAAATATTCAACACAATTCGATACACGAAAAGAAAATATTCCGCTTCAATCAATAATTGCAGATAGTACATTTTTATTCGATTCAATAGCGACAAATGTTACACAAGATTCATCTAATAATCAAGATAATTCTCAAATTCAAACAAATGATTCTAAACAAATTCTGCAAACATTTACCGTTGTTAACTCGAGTATTTTTATTCGTTTATTTTATAAAATAAATAAATAATTTGTATTTTATTCAGATTTGATCGGTCAAACTTCTTCACAAGGATATACGGTAAAATTATTTTAGGCTAAATCTTTTAATAATATCATAAAGAGTTTATACTAATTTAGCAAACAACAAATCAACAACAAGGAAATAATTATGATCAAGTAAATTTTCTTTTTCTTTTAAATATTTATCATGTTCATTTTATTTATTTCTTAAGGAAACTACATCGAATGTTATTGGTTCAAATAATGTTACAACTAATGAACAACAAACAGAGGAACAATGGCAACATCCTCGTGGCAATAGTGGAAATGCTCAGCGTATTGGACAATATAACGGAAATCATAATAAAAACTATCATCGAGGCGGTCAAATTAATTATAATCAACAAAATTGGCGAGGACCTCGTTAGTATTATTTCTTGATGTTTAAAGTTATATCATATAATTTCAAAATTGAAAGTATAGTAAAAGCTTTATGTGACAACACCGACTGATATTCAGCACATTATGAGCAACTTATTGTCTTTCTTCTACAAACAGAACGAGAATTTAAGAAGTTATATGATATTCATTGAATAGTCGTAAATAATCAAATAGTATTTGTGAGAAAACTGACTAATCGTGCGTGTTAAATAGAAAAAAAGAACAAGCTTAGATAGGAGCAATCATTCTTGCTCAAGTATCTGTTCATTTTTTGTTAACAAGTAATATGACGAAATCTTACCAAGACATAATCATTTATCATTGATTCAAAAACTGTAATTGATAAATTATAGAAAAGAAGAAAATTATTATTCTGTACGATCGAAAAGTGATTGCTAATGAATACTTGCTGTTTGCAACATGAAAACAACTAAAAACCTCGCCATAATGCGTATGTCCTTGAATTGGGCTCTTATAACAAGTCTTGATGGTACTCACATGGGAAAGGTTTTGCTCTAAACTGTTTTTTTTTATCTCATTCAGTTTTAGATTTTAGTATGTAAGTACTGACGTAAAAAATCACACTCAATAAATTTCCATCTGTCAAACATATCTAATCTATAAGTAAAAAAATTTATATTCTCAGTTTAGTCGATAAATCATTACTGCTAAAAGAATGTTTTCATGTTAAATGTGTGTATTAATTACAACGTACGAGAGAACCCCTAGGATTTTTCATGAGAAAAAAAACTTACGATCGAAATAATAATATAAAGATTTTTGATCATGGATCATAAATTAGATTTTAATTTAATTTAATTTAATAATACTACTATAACTCTAGAATGAAAGCACAAAAAGATGAACTATTCTAAACTTCGTCTAGTCTGCGTAGTCTACAGTTAACATCACAAGTCTAATTTGAAAAGTTGTTTATTATTTTAAGAGATTTTTTTCTGATTTGTCAAAAAATATCTATGATACAAATTTCGAAGTTGCTCCATAAATGAAATTATTATTGTCATGTATGTTATTTTTTGTTTAATTAAGGTGGTCGTGGTCATTATGATGGTTCGTACGCTGGTGGCCAACGATACTACAATGAAAATGGTAATCGTGGTGGAGGTGGACACCGAGTTGGATCTAATTCTAATTATCGAGGTAAGATATGATCATTCAATTGTTTGTAGACTTGCATACAATATATATCATGATTTTTGTAGGTAATCGTGGTGGTAATCAACGAGGTGGTCGAGGTGGCAATTCTGGTTATCATGGTAATGGAAATCAAAAATCAACTCAATATCACCAGACTACCGATCAGCAAGAGCAACAAGAACAACAAGAAATATGCTCAGCTCCACCAAGTCAACATAAATAATGGACTATTTGAAAGAACTACCCAATTCATTTGTTCTGCACCCCGTTGAATGAACTTTATTCACGATGTTTTCTCGTTTTGTTTTTGTGTTTAACTCGTTAAAAATTTTTCATCTGCTGATGGAAAATGCCTTTTTCCGTTCCTTCTCTTGCTTTGTTTTCTCTTTCTTTCTTTTTGTCTTGTTTGTGGGATAATCATGAACGGATGATCACAAGAAAAAGGAATAAGCAGATTATTTTAACATTTACTTAATTCGACGAAATCTATCGGACATGAATGTATTCATATTTTATCTTTTCATATTCATTTATGAGATAAAAACGAACATCTAAATGACAAGTCTCTATTGATAACGATTATTATAATATAAGAAATCGATTAACTCGCCTGTCAATCAATAATTGCTAGACTCAATTAACGATGTGTCCAAAATAAAAGCTGCGTTTATTGTTTATATCTACATGAAATCATTGAATCGAAACTAAACATAATTAGAATCGTAAGAAAGTCACTGAAACAACTTAACTTTAAAGAATGATTTTTCGTTTAAACTCTACTCAATTAAGTACAATAATCAACTGAATATACTTACTTTAATATGACATCATTCGCTCTCAAATTGTTCCTTTTCACGAATTATAACTCTATCAAATTAAATAGTATCATTCGATAAGAATGAATCCTTAGCTTTTCCTGTAAAATGACATTGTTAGATCATCATACATTTTTATGTAATTATATGATTTTCTTTTGTATTCTTTCTGAATCGTCGATGAAATATTTTATCATTTCTCCGATAGGTTTCTTGCTTCTTTTTATCTATGTTTCCATCGAGATATTCTCCAGACGGACGCATTGAACTACGTAACAAACACTGAAACTTAAATAAAACAAAGTTTAGCCATTTTTTTTTATTATAGGGCCTAATTTTGTTGTTCGATTGATAGGAGTGAACATCAAATATGATATCACCTTTTTACTGATATGTTCTTGATGAAAAGAAGTTCAATTTCAAGTTCGAACAAATTCGATGAAGTCAGTTGGATCTAAATATGAAATCGAATATTGTTAATGTTCAGTCATCATTAAGCAAAAATAATGAGATCTACTTTCGTCGTTTTTAGACATTAAATCATTAGATTCAAATTTTCTTTAGTTGACTTTCAGATGCAACATTCCTGATAACATCACAAGAACTCAAGCATGACAACCAAAGAAATATTTAGTTATACGATCCAATTTTCAGAGCGTACGAAATATTGATGAAAATTTTATGATCAGTTGACACGCATTAGGTCAATTATAAGAATTTAATTTTGTTTTGTTCATGAAAATAAAGTAAAAATTGCTAAACGAAGCATGTGACAAAGATGATCAATCAAATCGTGTATGACTATTTACAATCGTTGAAGCTGTTACTACTAAAACAAAGTAGCATTTGTTTTGTTATTTCTTCGAAATAGAAATATGAGTAGATCATCGATTGTTTAGTTTATTATTCTGATATGATTGTAATTATTAAATTAAATCTATGTTTCAAACTCGAAAATGTTTTAGGTGTAGCGAACTTTCGCGATCGAAGGAGCAGTATGAACTCGAAAATCTTTTACTATATTTATTATAGTTGCTTTTTTTATAAATGATTTAGAACACTCTCAAAGGAAATAATCTATGGTTACCGTGTTTATATATATATATATATATATATATATATTTACTGAATTATCTTTATCCTAGTAAAAAACATACACATATGCGTTAGTAAAATGAATTGAATATATTCCGAATATTTAGATAGAAAGTTGTTGTATTACTGTGTCATGTTCATGAAACTTATTGTTTCACGAAAATTCAAAAAAAATTTATTTTATTCATTTTTAATTAGAGATAATCAACTGCGAAAAAAGGTAATCACGAAAAGTTCAATATCAGAATAATGACGGCTAGGATTTATTCAACTAAAAGCTTATTTAACTATTTCCGAGAAGAAATTTACAAAAAAAAGCAGAACAACACGGTTTATTTTGAATTCTTGACAAATATTTATGAAGAACTGTATAAGACAAAAACGTTTTTTTATTAGAACTCAACAATTTGATTGAAATATTCATTGAATCGTTCAATTGTTAAACATTTTCCATTATAATTTGAATTTAGATAATGAGCCGTGTTCAAATTAAATTGTTTTTCAAATGTTTTAAGTTTTCTTTGATTAACACCATGACACATTAATTGTAGCGTTTCCATTATTTTATTATTGTAGTAGATTGAATTAATTAAATTCATAATTAAGTGTCCATTATTCTCTAATAAACGATCAAAATTATTTAAATATAATTTTAATAAACGTAAATTTTCATATTTATGAATATAGTCAAATTGTAGATCGCGACATTCAGTTAATACAAGAGTTTCAAGTTGTTTTGGCATTTTTGAATAGTCTGGAAGTGATATTTGAGGAATACGAATATATCGAAGATTATACATTGATGATAAATTAAGAAAATTGATATTTAAATGAATTTTTTCATCTGTATTATAAATTGTTAATTTATTTAAATGGCGAAAAATTATTGTATTCGATGATAATGAAGAATAATCGATTATTAAACGATCTAATTTTAATTCATTTATTGACTTGAAATTGTCGAGAATAATCTTTAAAGATTCTATTTGAATTGGTATACTTTCACCATCATAATAAAGATGACGAACATTTGAATAACTATCTCTAAAATAATTTTAAAAGGTTTTAAAAATATAAATACTTAAAAAAATTTTCTACAATCACTGTCTTAATCCCATAAACCACACAATCTTGAGAGCTCTTTTAGTCAATACATATCTTCACTATGTAATTATCATGCTTGCTATAATATATTGATTCAAAAACTATCGAAACAAATTTGCTACTGTGCTTGTTGAATACTTTTAAAGTACATACATCTAATTAACTTAAAAATGTTTTCACGCGCATACATGAAAAGAATATATGAAATAGTTGTTGCCTTTTGTGTAGCATAAAAAAATAGAATGAAATCGATTTTACTAAAGCAATCATTTTCTCATTTAGATTCAATTGAACGCATAAAGTACAACAGTTATAAATAATTATCTAGGAAGTACGGAAAACAATTTTAATGAAATTTATTTTTCTTTTCCAGCTGTATAATTGTCAACATATCGATCAGATTCATTTGAAGAAATTTTATTTTTGATTATTTAAACCATGTTCTTATACGACTAATGTACGTTCATCAATTTGAATTACTATTTTCGTGAACATAAAGAAAATACATATCGGTTGATTTTCTAAGAGTACATTTATCAAAATGATATTATCAAATATCCGTTCTGCTGTCAACAGAATATATGGCATATTGTTGACTTCAGCTTCAAAGAAGTAGCCGATTAGACTAGATTATAGAAAGACTTCAGAATTGTACAGTGTAAATTTCATTATGATTTCAATGCTCCAGCAAGTACATTTTTACGAATACTATTGATAGAAGAAAAAACGTATTCCTTGAAATTTCTTCATCTTTTACAGAATCAGTCAAAACAAAATTCTCAAGTTTTAAATGTCACGCAGCATAGTAATAATTTGTATATGAACACAGCCCTAGAGTAAAATGAAATAAATATCTATTCGCTGCAAAGATGGTTTCGTTGGGAGAAGATTCATTATAACATTCTCATCGTTTTATACTGAGTACTTTTGATAAATGCTTTCAATATTCTTAAAATCTGGATGAAAAGCGAACTTATAGTTGAGAAAGTTACCTTTTGTGAAAATAGAATGCTGCATATAAAAATTCTAAAAGGCAGCTAATTTATTATTTCAGATTATAAACAGGATAAAAATAAAAATAAAAGATTAAAATTTGTTAGTAAAGATAAATATTTTCTAGGAAAAACTTAGATGAATATTTAATCAAAGACTGCACTATTTAGAAATAAACAAAAGAGAAAATTAGGGAAAAAACGATTGTTTGTAGTAACAAAAATATGACTTGTATTAAAATAAAATACTATTTCTAATTAGATTTTAAAAATTTCATATACTTTTTGAAATAACTGATTTTCAAACCTTGCACTATATTGTTTGTTCGTTGATTTTGTTCTATTGATATCAATAGTTGCATCGATAAGCGCATAAGGATAAGGAATTGTATGTAAAAATAATTTTTCATAATTTTTTCTTTTAAAACCATTTAGTGAAAAGTTTTCATTTGTAAATGAACAAGTTGAATAGAAATTAATAAACCATTTTCGTTGTTTCAACCAAAAATCTGTTGAAAATGACTTCAATAAATAATCTTCTTTCATTTTTTGATCATCATTTTCGTTTATTTTAAAGCGATATCGAATAGAAAATGTAAATTTTTTTAAATAAAATAATTTATTCAAAAACTTTTCCCATTGATAACCATCAATATAGTCTTGATCACGCGTCAAAGTCTCAATCGATAAATATTCAAGTGAAGAACATGAGTCAATTATTAATTTTTCTAATTGTTTAAATTTAATTGAGTCCTCAAATGTCGTTTTTAAATGAAAATAACGAAGTTTAATTAATTTCAATGCTGATGAAAATGATCTTAACGGTTTAAATGGTCCATTATAAAGTATATGAATATTTAATTCTTCAATTGAACTTGATAAAAGATAAAGTAATTCAAATAAATCAACATTATTTTTCAATGTTATTGTTAAACTTTCAAATTGATTTAATTGATTTAATTGAATATTTGAAAATGTAAAACCATGAAATGAAAGAAGAACTAAGCGTTTTAAATTTGTATATTCGTTTGATGAAAAAAACATTTTTATTAAATCAAATTGAATATCAACTGGAACTAAATCTATTTTTATTTCTTTTATATTAAAAAGAAAATTTTTAGAAAATGAATTTGAAAAATGAATTGATTCAAGGTTATTAAACATTTCTAATTTTATTGGACAGCGTTTGAAATTATCACTAAACATTATTGATCGAACATTCCAACTGATATCAGGTAAAATTTCATTTAAAAATCGATTTATTAATTTTGATGGAATTATATTTAAATCAATTCTTTCACTAAATTCTTTTATTGTTTTCGATAAGCGACAATTTAAACAACTAAAACCATTTAGAATTTCAACTATATTTAGATATCGACAAATTAAAAGTATCAATTCATCAGGCAAATCTTCGAATTTATTTTTACTATTGTAATTCATAACTAATCGGCGAAAAACGGCGGTCGAATCTAAAAAGAGAACAATATTCTATTACTATAAGCAAAATTTTGATATTTTATTTATGATATAAATAAAGTTGACAGTTAATCTTGAAAAAATATTATCATAGAAATGTTTCATTTATTTTTTGTGTTATTTTATCTTTGTTAAGTAATTGTTCATACTTTATGTCGTTCTCGAACTTGTATTTGTTCTTTTTTCTTTTCAGTTCTTCTTGAAACAAGACAGAGTTTGTTAATAAATACAGACCCGTGAATACAGAGTGAGCAGAATGAATTCATTTTGAAAAGAAAAATCTCTTTTGCCTTTCTTTGCTTACTTTTTTTTTATTGAAAGAGAACACAAAATATTTCTCGTCTTATTTTCTTTTAATTTGTTCTTCGCGGGGCGGGGGGGGGGG